GCCTACGAATGAGAAGCCAGAGCACGAGAGTGAGGCGCCTACGAATGAGAAGCCAGAGCACGAGAGTGAGGCGCCTACGAATGAGAAGCCAGAGCACGAGATACTGAATGTCAAACAAGAGACAGAGAATGCAGAGAATAACACTGAGAAACCAAATCACAAAATGCTGAATATCCGGCAAGAGAATGCCAAGCATGACCCAAAGAAGCCAAAGCAGAAGGTGAAGACGAAGAAAAATGTGGACAAGAAAAAGAATTTTGCAGTCAAACCGAATGGCAAGAAGAAGCCAGCTCCTGATGCTACAAAAAACAACGAGGAGAAGCAGTCTGATGCAAAGAGGAAGCAGGCGATTGTCACGGCAACGACGTCCCCCACACGGAAGTCGCACCTTGATCGGAAGACCTCTGGATCGCTGCGTTGGAGAATCCCCAAGATTGTGATGGAGGACGAGGATTCTGCGAGGAAGGAGTTACAGGAATCGATGAAGGTCAAGGGGAAGAGGAAGAGAGAAGACTTTAAAGCAAAGGGCACGGCCGTGGCGGATGTGGTAGGGCTTTACTGCAATGACTGTGAGGTCTACGTCACAAACAATACGGTACGAAATACTACATAGTATTCACAGAGTGGTAATAAGAGAATAGAAATAATAATTATGAATTAATGATTATAATAATAGTAATAATAATAATAATAATAATAATCGTCCTTGTCCTCGTTCTCATCATAACTAATCATAAATGAATAATGATTTAATTGTGGTAATCATGGTAACCGTCACCCCATAGTAGTTCTTGGTTACCGTTACAATGATTGTATGTGGAATATTCAACGATGACTGCATGTTCATGGCCTCGAGCTGTCTTGTTCAATTAGGTACACATGTTACTATAAAACAGTTCAACTCAGTACTTGCCCTCCTCGGTGTATACATGTATTGCTGGGTCGTTGTCATGTGTTGATCAGCACTAACTACTTCTATGAATTAATGTGGTATCTCAATTGTTACAATATCTGTTATTCCGTTTTAACAGGCTATGGACAAACATGTAAAGAGCATTGACCATGCGTATATGTTGATGAGGACACACTTCAAAGGTCAACTGAGGCATTTTCATAAAAGCATAAAATCAGTGGCCAAAGATCATAATTCTTATGAGTGCAAGGTACAGTGCATACTTACTAGTATGTGTGTCATGATGCATCGAATTATCAAGTAATTGCATTCGTGTTTGGCTGGATTGCAATGGAATGATGGCAAAGAAAAGCATTGATAACCATTGCCGATAGTTTACTGAACAATTGGTAGTTTTTGATAGTTTTAACATTAGGAGAGAGAGAGGACTTTCATAGAAATGGAGGTGACGGAAGAGATCGGGGTTCAATGGTTTTTCAATTACTGTAGTAGTATCATCAATAATATTTCAACTATCATAACACTATTGCAAAATTAAAGTTGCACTAAATACTCTCCTTCCTAAATATTAATCTTTTACCCTTCTCTAATATTAAAATCTATATAAAATGACTATTAATACTTGAAAAATACATAAATTTCACACACAATGATGTTAATCGGGTTTATGTAATCACAAATATGAATAATTAATGCCTTGTGTGTTATAATTACCCTTTTATGTTAAATCATTAGCTCATCTGACATAGTCAGATGCAGCTTGTAGAATCGCATGATCGTCCGTCCGTCCGGTCGTCCGTCCGTCCGGTCGTCCGTCCGTCCGGTCGTCCGTCCGTCCGGTCGTCCGTCCGTCCGGTCGTCCGTCCGTCCGGTCGTCCGTCCGTCCGTCAACAGTTGGGCACAAATCTTAACCGCTCGACGTACGGTCACGATATTACCGGGTCACGATATTCGGGGCGTTGGGGGGATCCGTCAAACGAGTTGCGGATGTTGAAGCTGGGGTCAAGGGTCAGAAAGGTCAAGAGGTGGTAAAAGAAGGGGGACACATCTCACTCCTTAACTTAAGGTATAGGGAGGAAATGCCAGAATTGCGCGCACAAATCTAAACGGCGTCGACCTAGGCTCGTGATAGTCGGATGTATAGCATTCATGGTAGGAAAGCCATCACTGTGCCGAAATTGGAGTCACAGGTCAAAGGTCAATGGCACAGGGGCAGATTTTAGACATTTCTGAGGGACATGCGTCTGACGGAGCGATTGAAAAACTTTTTTGTTTTCAGCGGTACCTTGCATTTTTATGGCTTATTGAAAGGACCATGAAATGTCCCTTTCTGCTGCACATGCGAAGAGTAAGTGTCGGATAACTTTTTGACCCTCAAGAGGAGGGTTAAACATGGATTGGTGTTGACTGTTAACAAAAGAGTGTGAACTGCTTTTGTATTAGAGCCTCCCTCTCCCCTCCCTCCTTCCCCCCCTCCCCCCTTCCCCACCCTCCCCACCCTCCCCTACCCTCCATCTGCGTAAGTGGGGCGTGTCCTAACATGATGTGTACGCCAACTGCTGTCTGCATATCTGCGCCTAACAAATGTGGTACTACGCACGACTGAAATTTTCGTTTATAATCGTAGCAACAGACCTCAGATGAGCCCAGACGCCTCTGCGGCTCTTGTTTTATATAATCGTATATATTCTATCACTGCAGGTCAACACTCCTTCCACTGTTTTGTTTAATAGTGTGCATAAATAAAACTGAGCTGTTTGTGGTTTTCAGGTCTGTGATAAGGTCTTTTTTGGGACAGAAACTTCCTGGACGCATCTGCGACATAACATTCATTTACAGAATGCCTCTGCAGAACACTGGTAATGATGTGTTACGGTGGTGAATTAATAACTTCCTTAACTATAATCTTTCCTAAATTTCAGCCTGCAATTGTGAAAGATGGCAGATAAGCTCTAAATTCCACTTGGTTGATCTTTCAGTGGTTCATGACCATGGCTTTATGTTTCAGAGACTCACCAGGCATATATTTTACACCAGCCATCTGAGATCCCAAGACATTGTGGATGAGATCACTAACGATTACCTAATCGGTAAGAATGCAGCACATGTTGTGATCGTACACAGTTCCTTCGATGCAGCCAACACAGAAATGAACCTGCTACCCAACATGGACTTGGCATGCTCACTTAAGCAAATATGATTCATTATTATTGATTATTATTAAATCTGTATTGCATGTAATTCAAATACAAATACATGTACTGAAGACAAGTCCTTTCATGAGAAAAAATTGATAAATGCATTAGTGTTGAGCAGTTAAAATATCAAATTTCTGAGTGATACATTACAAAACAGCGGCTATACAACATGTTGAAAAAATGGTTTTTTTAATTTACAAAAAATATGTATATCTTAATTCTGGCAAAAGTATTGAATGTGTATCCATTTGAATCCTGTTCAGTCTGTCATATAATATACAATAGGCAGGGTTCCCCCTACTATTTTTAGGAGGCATGTGGTTTATAGACAGTTGGGGAGGGCCCAGGATGGGCTGTACAACAATTGGAGTCAATTACGCTATATGAGTAAGTGGCCCCTATACACAGGTAACGAGATCAGTTCAGAGAAGTATACCATCAAGCTGTGAAAACACATCGTGTCTGTTTCAGGATTGTCAAAGTAAACGTAGCTGAATATAATGGCATGTCGAGTAGGCAATTAGGCGTGTCAGCAGTTTTATGATGACTGTGCAAGTTAGGCTTATGCTTTGATGCGTTAAAGGCCTGGCGAAAACCTCTGCTAGGTTATCAAAGGTGTTGTGAAAGTACTGATAAAATTTCGGATAAACTCAGTGTTGGAATATAGAGAATTCGTGACTACAATCTGAGGCTGCCCGAGATATCTCATAGCTTTTCGAGTGTATATACAATACAGCAGGGCCTAGTTGATTGCTTTCCTCCCAATCTTAATGAAATAATAATGAAAATTAATTAAGATTAATCTAATGATTAATCATAATTAATAGGTAGGACTCTTGCACCAAGCGAGCCTCGCCTCACTAGGAGTGTTTAAAAAAGAGCTAGTCTAGTTGAGTAACTACGATAAAACATCAGGAGGTCGGGGTCATCTTACTCTGGTTTCGATTCCTTAATTGAGCTCCGATTTCATCGTTGAATTGTCGCTTCGCAGGTCTGGAGCACATTCTTTTTGTGACAAAGCCGGCTACGAGTGATGGCCGCCGCACATTGAGTGCCTGGCCTGGCAAGTCGGGCTTCGCTCCAATAGATCTGGCCCAACCACGTGCTGCACGACGCACCACAGGACCAACATTATGTGGTGTCGGTGGCAATCACATCCACGCGTCGCGTGCCTCTGTCCGGTTTCTGTGAACCCTTGTCTGTGTGAGGTTTAAGCCATGCAACACTGTTACACGTTGCCTCAACCGTGACAATTGTGCGTGAGAGATTTTTCCTAGCAATGCAACATCCTGTTTACACTTCGCTCAAACCGTGACATGTGCGTGTAGGTTCCAGCCAATGCCACGACTGTATACACCTAGCTTCAACGTTGACAAGTGTGTGTGAGGTTCACGCAATGCACAGGACTGATTTACACCTTGCCTCAAACCGCCTTGACAATTGTGCATGTGACAGGAGGGCGTTACCTAGTTGTTTGGCGTTCATTAGCTGTTTTGCGGTTGTTTTGTGACGTAATCGTATCTTGTGAGTTGGCTGCTGCCTGACTCAATTCAGCGTGTGTACGCTGCGTCTCTCTTCTATCATGATGCATAGGTCTCGCAGCTTGGGAGACTCATTAGTGATTTTTACCCACGTGAACACGTAGTGGTAAGGAAAGAACTGAGCAATGCAATGCTTGTTGTATCTCGAACGGTATTACCTGGAGCATGCCAGTAATGGTTCCACATAGTTGTTAGAGTGTGTTTATATACATTCGGCTATTACTGGGTGGCTGTTGGCATCTTAACAAAGGTATACATACATATTATCATAGTTTATTGCTATCTGTACAGCTTCATGGTTTACATACAATAATCCAGGTCAACTCTCTTGGGGCAGCGGCCTGCTCGACACGTGTGATTATGAAGACCAGATGCAGGCTCGACATCTCATATGTATGAAAGCAGCAGCTTAATCATGGCCGATCGATGCGGTCACAGCATATTTTTTGGACGCATTCCCAAGTAGTATAATGACTGATTGATACGATAATCTAACAGTGTCAGCTGAATCAGGTTGTGTGTATCCATTTGGGCGAGTTCTTCTTATCCTGAGTACTTTTGTGAAGCTGAAGAAGCCATGTTCACGCCTGAAGCACTCGGCCTGGTCCCGCTAGGTGCGACCTGGCAAGCACGATAGATGGGAGATAGCACGCGGCGGGCGAAGCTCAACTCAAGCGTCAGCAAATAACCGCTTCTTGTAGAGCCCTTCGACATCTCATCAACTTAGATAATAATAAGTTCTCTAATTATAACTACTCTTATTTATCTATTCTAAGATAGTTTTATAGAGATGATTGGACTGGTTCGTAATCTTCCGAATGTCTCGATGGTTTCTCTGTCAGTTAAACAGAATCGTTATGACGCTGATAGTATTCTGGAGAGGCGGAAGGAAGCCGGGAATTCCTACACCTATGAGAAAGTATCGCAGACGCGCTCTACAGGAAAGGTTCACGCCTGCACGCGTTCGGCTCATTTTGGCTAGGTGGTTTTGTCCACAGCTCTCCACGCACTCGCTGTTGACAGGCGGTATGATTATTGTGTCGAAATTT